CCTGGAATCCACACCAGGGCTTCAGGGCTGCTCCCCAGACGTTTAATAAACTCTGCGTCACCTGATCACAACAGTAGCTGCAACCGTGTAGGAATCTGGAGAAGGGGGAGACTAACATCTCAGTGATGGGACTAGGGCAGTTTCACCGCGCTTTTTTGTAGCTTTCACACATTTTTGTGTGGAGCTGTAAATTACTTCTATTGTAGTGTTCTGTTGTGTGAGTATAACACCACAATTTATATATCCACTTACTGCTGATGTCTTGGGTTGTTTTCATTTGGTTTTGGATGTTATATGTGTGTGGTTATTATGAACAGTGCAATTTTGGATATTCTTGTAGATATATCTTGTGACTTACATGTCTATTAATTTCTCCAAGGTGTATACGTAGCAGTGGAATTGCTTTACTAAATAACCCCAAATTATTTTCTAAAATGGCTGTACTCCCATCAAGAGTGTATGAGTTGCATTTACATGATGTTATCAGACTTCTTAATTCTGGCCAAACTGGTAGGTATGTGATGGTCTTTTGCTGTGGTCTTAATGTGAATGTCCCTGATTACCTGAAGCCTTTCATTTATTAGTGGCCATTTAGACTTCTTTTGTTAAGGTCCTATTCAAGTCTTCTACCCATCTTCTGTTAGGTAATCTTTTCTTTTCTAACTTACTTAAAAGTCTAGTTAAGTCACTGAATCATATAATTCTAAAACTTTGGAGGCAGAAAGGACTTTGAAGAATTTCTAGTCCAACACCCTCTTCAAGAGATGAAACTTAGACTCAGGAAATGGGCCTGCCTGAGGCCCCCTAGAGCGTCACCGAGGCAGGGAAAGGATCCATGTCTTCTAGTCTGGATACAGTAGTCTTCTTTCCTCCTTATCCTTCTGCTGTTCTGGCAGCCAGTAAATCAGTGATCACTCGTTTGGCTGTTCCTTCTCTTTACCGCAACCCAGCCTCAACTGCTTTACCCCAGCCTCTGAACCCCCATGCCACTGCTCTCCACGCTTCGCTCTCTCTGACTCAGGACAGGCCAGCGCGGCCAGCTCAGTGCTACAATCTGCCCCGGTCTCCTCTAGAAACACATACTAACTTCTCTAGCTTGAACATCCCACATCATGTGCCTTTGAAAGGATGAGACTGTGGGGCTTTGGCCTGTTGTGTTTCCTGTCTCTAGAAGAAAGGGGCCGCAAACACAGACCAGGACAGGAAAGCAGTCACCCTTACCTGTCAGTGCCATTGAGCCCAGGGCTGGAGAACACCTGCATCTTCTCTAAGGCGACTGTCGGAAAGCTGTGGGGACAGATAATAGCACACTCGGGCCCCATCTGGGTACAAGAGGCTGGTGCCCAGCCAAACACCGAGGTGACCCAGATCTTCCAGTCCTCAAGAATGGAAAGGATCTCTCCCGGGATTACAGCCACCCAGTGGCACGTCTGAGAAGCCATAAGCCCTGATTCCCATGCAAGCCTCTGATGAGCCCTAGAGATGGACAGCTGAGGGCAGGCCCATGACCTTGAAGTGGGGACTGGGAGGCGGGGAGGAAGGAGACCATATAGATCCCCAAACAGGCCCCATCGTACTCATGTTCCTGGAAACGTCTGTGGTCGTATTCATCGAAGATGGGGCGCCAGGCGTGGATGTTGATGACGGCCACGGCCCCGGCGATGAGCAACATGAGCGTGAGCTTCACCATATGGCTGACCTGCACCAGCATGATGGTGGCAATGAGGGACAGCACAGCCACGTAGTTGTAGTACTTGGGATTCTCCACGCAGCCGTCCTCCACCTGCACCCCCGCCGTGCTGTTGCTGGGCCCCGAGTAGTACTGGAGACAGCTGAGCTGGAGGCCAGGACCGCCGGGCGAACACCGGGTGCAAGGGAACAGCAGACACTGGTCAGAGAAAGCTGGGCTGCGGGCGGCTGCCCCTTCCCCTGGCTCCCTCAGAAACACGGAGAAAGAAGGGAACGTGTGCCAAGGGACAGTAAAGCAGACGTTAGTGATTCCTGCTAAGAGCTTTACCATCACCTCCTCGGATGATCGTGACAACCCTCAGAGTATTGTTAGTACCGCCACCATCACACAGAAAACAGAGGCCACACTTGCCCAAAGCAGCACTATCGGCCAGTGGTAAAGCAGAGCTACGGATCCAGTCTTAGGTTTCAAACCCACATCACATTGCTGCTTCCGGAGTGGCCGGGGGCCAGCCAGCCAGCCTCCCCTCAGCCTCACTGTGACAGCAGCCAGTCCCCATGACCCTTCATTTCTGAAGTCTGGTGGCCAATCCCATCACTGGGTGGATGTGGTCAATGGAAAGTGCATCTATAAACTGAATCAAACTGACTTTTCATAATTTTCATCCATTGCCACTTGCCTGGCTTTGGGGACACTCTCAACATGACTCTAGCATGAGAAAAGTTTTCACACCTCTAGTTTTTCACCTCCCACTGGTGACAGGATCCACAGATGTCCTGCCAGAATCCATGACCCTGTTAAACAGAGGTCCCCAGACCTGGGCACCAGGCTCCAGGTGTGTCCTGACACCAGGAGGCCCGGGGCTTCCCTGCCCTGTGCTGTGGGCACCGGCAGCCTGTGGGCACGCCAGGTTCTGGAGCTCCTCACTCCATTCCAGCTGGACTCTGACCAGCTGGCCCACAGGCTTGTCACCTGTACTGCTGCCAGAATAAGTCCCCATACTGAGTTTTCTCCCGGGCTTCAGTTGTTAAAGATAATGAAGCAAGTAATGTAATACCATATTTGAAAAAAGTCCCTGACTCTGTAGGAGGGCATGTATGGTACCATCAGCACTGGAGGGAGCGGAGCCGCGAGGGCTGACGAGAGCATCAGTGTCGGCGCCAAGCCCCCAGTGCCCAGTAAAGGGCTGCTGGCTTCCAACGGCGGTCCCTTCTCCCCAAGGAGGCATCTGGCTGCCCCCTCCTGCGACCCACATGAATTGAGGAGAGCAGAGAAGAGATCTCATCTGGGCTCTGTGAAGCTCCGCTCTCAGGAAGGTCTGGCCTTATTCAAGGGGATGAAGGCCAGACAGGAGAGCGTCTCTGGTGGAACAGGTTTACCTCTCTTGTCCTGAAGGATGCCTAACACTAGCCACACAGTAGGGAGTGCTTAAGATACGCAGAATGCTTAGGAGTATGGGGGCCCCCCAAGCAGCAAGATATGGAGGAAGAAACACAGGACTGGGATTTAGGACTGTTTCAGTTCTCAACACTGTTACTAGCTATGTGACCTCTCTGAGCATCATTTCTTTACAAGAAACTACAAATGATACCGACCTCCTGGGATTATTATACAGATTAAATGAGTCAATGTATGGAAAGCACCCAGCACAGGACCTGGTGTTGGGCTCCTGGACTTGGGGAGGGCAAGGAGCTGGAGGAGACAAGGTAGTCTCACTGGGGAGTCTCCGGCTGGGGAGAAGGCCCCCGCAATTTGGCCAGGATGATCATTTAGGGACCTATATGCCACTCCAGAATTATGTCTAGCACTGGAGGAAGGGGCTGGCAGATGGCTGGTGCCCACCGATCTGGAAGCCTCCTCTGAAAGTGGGAGTCCCTTCAACAGGACAGCAGGGGCTCACCATGTCCACGACGTTTGCCATAACCAGAATGAAGACGGCCAGCATGGCCCAGGTATTCCTGGCCCAGCGGGTCCGGTCGATCCAAGTCGAGAAGGCCACGAGCTTCTTGGGAAAGGCCTAGAAGGGTGGAATGTCAAGGGCCTTGAGCCTGCAAACACGACTGCTAACCACTCTGGCTGCTCCCACACTTCCCAGGAACCTAGAAAACAGTGCTCTGTGTGTGTGTCACCCAAACTGACCGTCAGAACTGAGAAGCGAGTGCGGGGAGCCCGGCTCTGCCTGTGCCAGTCCTGCCGGCGGTGCACGTGCCCTTCCTGGAGCTGACTTGCTGCTGGCCAGGAGTGGGGGCATCACCTGCCGGCGGCAGTCCCCTCCCTGTCTCTGCGTGGCAAAGCCAGGTCAGGGGAGAATTTTCAGTGCCAGCTGTCTTTGCCTGGCTTCTCCTGAGTCAGTAGACCTAATTCTCCCAAGTTACTTGCACGCCACCTGCCAGGTTAATTTTCCTAAACACTACTTTTCCTTGTCATTCGGATCAAAACTCTGCCTGGCTCCCAGGGCTCACAGGGGCAGGTCTCAGTCCCCGTGTCGGCTTTCAGGGTCCTTCACCACTGGAGCCAGTTTACCTTCCCACTGGGCCTCCGCAGCTTTTCTACACAGGTTCCTACTTTTCTAGACTCTGGCTCACTCCCCCGAGTGTGCTCCAGGGCCTCGCCCAAAGCAGATGCGGAGGTGATGATGAAGGAGTGTGTAGTAAACAACGGGACAAATGCCCGAGCCACCCCAGTGGAAGACAATCTACCGCTGAGGACCTGACAGGACACACAGCTTTGTGCATGCCCACTTCTGCAGGGCTGAGGCTCACTTCGAGGGCTCTGAGCCAAAAGGAAAAGAGCTTCTTACCTGGGGAAAGATGGCAGCCATGGAGCAGACTGTCAGGATCAGGAGCAGAACCTCCCCAACCACAAAAGTCACATAGTTTGTCATGAGCCTGTAACAGAGAGAAAGCAATCAGGGCAGGGACCAGAGGGAGTCATGAGTTGGGTTAGCGGCCAGCAGAGTAAAGGAAGGGAGGGGGGCAGGCCCTGTAAGCAGGGCACAGCCTGTACCAGAGAAGTTCTGTGTGACGCCAGGGCCTTGCTGCCGCTTGCTGGACAGACGAGACACACAGGGGTGGGAGGGCTGCCGACTGTGGTGTGTGCAGGGCCTGGGGACCTGTGACCCTCCCAGCTGTAACTGTCCCCGGGATTCTTCCCAAAGGACAGACTCACAGAGGCCCTGGGCAGAGCCCATTAAAACCCGGGAAGGGATTCTTAGGAATGAGCATTCGGCCGTGTTGCTAGGATGCAAGGGGACAGCACGGAACAGAGCAGCTCCCTTATTGCCCAGGGCTGCTGAGAGTGACAGCACTCACCACCGCCTCCCTAGACCTCAGCCCCAGGCACAAGGCAGACAGCCAGAAACTCTGTGAAGTGAGGGAATGACTCTGATCCTCACAGCAGTTCTGAGTGAGCCAGGGCACGTGTTGTTATCTCAGACTGTCACCATCAGCATCATCTTCGGCTTTACAGCTGAGTAGACTGCTGCCCCAGGAACCCTCAGGGACGTGCCCAGGGTCATAGAACAAGCAGGCAAGAAAGCCGTGTCCAGAACCTAAGACCGTGTGATGAGTCCAAGGCTCTTGAAGTTCCCCAAACTGTGATAAGAACAGAGCTCCACACCCACTTCTCCTGGAGGGGGTCCCTGATCTGGAGTGAGCTGCTGATCGGCTGCTGGGAGAACAGGATGGGGGGAAGGAAGGGGAGCCATCTTTCCGGAGCACCCTGCCCTGCCCCGGAGGACCTGCTGCTGTGAGAGGTGAGCAGTCTGCACCAGAGCCTGAACTCTGTCTTTACTAAGATGAGCCAAGAAAGGGAGCAGGATGGGCCTTGGTGACTAAGGTTGAGCGTCCCCATCCGCTGTCTCCTTGTCCCAGAACCACTCAGGCCCATCCAGCCAAGGTCTCCCTCCCCCCAGACCCCTCTGTCCCTCAGCTTTCTCAGCCCTGGTGTGACCCTCACTTTGACACTAGTGCTCTGGGACCCTGGGGCAGAGAGAAGGAGGGGGGTCCAGACGCAGCCCCGCATTCCCTGGGGCTGCTCGCCTTTCGCCCTCCCTGGCCTGTCCCTGCCCTGCCCTCACCAGGGGTCGATGAGAATCTCCACCAGGGCCGCACAGAGCAGGACGACACAGGAGCAGCTGAAGGCAGCCCCACTCTGCTTCTCCTTCTCCACCGAGTAGCGGGTTTCCATCTCGGGGTCCATGAACCGCATGGACAGGAGGAAGGTGTTTCTCTTCTTCACTCTGCAGGGTAAACAAGCCCGTGACAGACAAATGCCACATCGGCCTCGCCGGCCAGGAAAGACCATGTTTAAGACTGACTCCCAGGGAACTGTAAACTTATAGTGGAGAAGAACTTTCTAAGCAAAACATAAAGTCCAGAAGCCACTGGGGAAAAAAAAAGACTAACTCCCCAGTCCCCGCCTTGGGGCCGGGTAAGGCACATGCCAAGGGCTGAACATCGGGGGCCACTTACACCTGGGCAGACTCCCGCTCGAGCAGGGCCTCGTTGAGTAGCTGGTTGAGCTCGTGCTCGTCCTCAGAGGCGTCCACCACGCGGTCAGCCAGGTCCTGAAGGCGCAGCCTCCGGCGGGGGTTGGGGAATGAGGGGTTGTCGGCCTGCAAGGCAGCGGGGCAGCATTGGGGGATGGGGGTCGGGGACAAGGAGGCAAAAAAGACGGAGTTTGGGAAAGACTGGGTGGTGCTGGGGGAAGGAGATCGAAAGGGATCACATGAGGATTAAGCCCTTGGCTCTTAGAACCATTTCATGGGAAAAGCCTTCCCAATGCTCCCACGTGGCTCTGTCCTGCTTGGGTCTGGACCCAAAGCCTCAGTCCTTCCTGATTTTCCTGGGACCCCAGGTCCCAGATCCAGGGATCCCTAACAGAAGCTCAGCAGTGGCTGCCCACTAATGGCAGGGTGTGGGGGAGCAGCTGCCAGGCGCACGGGTGGAAGACCTGGAGTCTGAGATGGCTGCCGGGCCACTGTAGTCCTGTCACCTCCTGCTACGAGGATGGGGGTGTCACACAGCCACACACATAGGCATCCTCGAAGACGTAAAGGGCCCGCACCCCTAGGGCTTAAGAGATCTCTCAAAAGGAGCTCAGATCTGGCTCATTTTGGGAAGGAAGATCTTAGGGGGAACATGATGGAGAGAAAAATCACATCCTAGTTGCTAGTGGGGTGGCAGGGCACCTGCTACCATTTTTATTCCTGGTCATAAAGGAAAAGCATCAACTCCAAACACATGGATCCAGGCTGTGATTCCAGAGTCATCAGTCTTGGCCTCATCAGAGCTGTCTGTAGGCGTCCAAGAGTGCATCCTGGAAGCCAGCATCAAGACACCCCGGGCTTAAGTTCAAGTGAGCCTCTGGTTGACAGTCTGACCCCATACAATTCATGTTCCCCCAGCCTCAGTTTTCTTCTCTGTAACGTGAAGTGGATGTTCTGTTCCAGCACCAAGAACCTCTGTCCCTGAAGCGTATCTGGAGCAGTGTGTCACTGGCTAATTGTGAGGACACAAAAAGTCACAGGATGCTAAACCTCTATCTGTGTCCTTGCTAGTGAGTAACACTGAATTTGTATTTCCACTTCCTATCAAGAAAATCACAATAGGGGAAAGTTACTGAATGTTGTGGTGCTCAAGAAAAACCCAGTTTACCTTCAGCCCTGTCTGCCCTCGTCCTCCAGCACCTGTCGCAAGGCCCCAGGGGCAGTTCTCCTGCTCCCTCACAGTGAGACTGGCGGTGCTGCCGACAAGCCCATAGCGGCCACTCCAAGACCGAGACTCCTGGCCCAGCATCTCCCTCTGTCAGTGAATACACTCAGGAAGCTCCTTAGTAACGGACGCTCTCCCAAGATGGACCCTGACCTCAGGGGGACAGCCTGTCAATTCCTTTGGAAACCCCTCATCTGTGCACAGGACTTGTGGGGTTTGGACTGAGTCAGCCCTGAGGTCTCACTTCCAAAATTGTCTTGGATCCTAAAGAAATCTTCATGGATGTCCTCATTGCCCTCAAATCTGCAGGATTCTGGGACGTCAGGGGTAGACGAGGCCTCGGACGTTAGCACCTCTTTTGACTTCACCCACCCCCACCCCACGTAACTGATGAGGAGATGGGGTGGGGGTGGGGCAGATGGGGAGGTGGCCTGCCCACGGTTACACAGCTATAAAGGACAGGGCCTAGGCCCGTGGCCAGGTCTCCCCCTCCCAGCACAGGACTTTTCCTGCGGCACCTTTTGCCTCCCCCCTTCCCGTCCCCTCCCACATCCCAGGCCTCAGCCCTGCACGCACTGGGGCATCCTGCTCCTCGGGCTCCTCCGACGTGGAGCCGCTGGTGTGGATGCTCCCGTTGGGCTCCTTGGTCCCGATGAGGGCAGGGGAGCTGGGCTTTGAGGATGGCGGCGCTCCATTCGGCAAGGCCTGCAGCAGACGGAAGTGACCATCAGGGACACTGCCAGCTGCCCACCCCAGCGAGGGGCTCAGCTCCTGTCAGTCTGGAATCTTCTCACTAGAGTTTAGAAGCCTCATAGACTTAGAAATCTCACTATTCAGTACCTCCTCTAGAACATTACTTTTAAAATGCTATAATTTTCTAGTATCAATTTCTACTATTAAGATTTTTCTAAGCAGAGAAAGATCCTATTGTTCCAATTCCCATTTCTGCAACATAACTCAGTGACACAGTGATTCAGAGATCTTTCTTGGTGTAGAGCCTTGTCAAATGCCTTCCAAAAGTCTGAGTAAATTCCACAAGCCAACTTCCCCAATCATTAGTATTTTTTCCTTGACAGAGTAAATTAAATACCATACACAGGGAAACAGCTCATTTTCATTCATTTACCAAGTATTTACTGAGTATCTACTATGTGACAGAGTTATTCTAACTCCTGGGGACACAGACAAAATGTCCTGACCTTGGAGCTCACACTCTTGTTGTGGAGGTCAGGGGAGGTGTCCCCGTGAAGATGACATTTCGATAAAGACCTGAAGGGGCAAATCATGTAGCTCTTTGGGCTGGGATCCAGGAAGTGGGACCTTGGAGCATCTGAGCAATAGCCCGGGGCCGGGACGCTGACGGCCTGACTGGATGCTCTGGCTTTTCCTCTGAGTGAGACCAGTGGAGGGTGTTTGACTGCTGTGTGGAGACAGAGGGCAGCAGGGCTGGGGCAGGAGCAGGATGACTGGTCGGGAGATGACAGTGGCTTGGATGGGGACAGGGGCTACAAGGGGATAAGAGGGAGGTTAGAGCCTATCTTGCTGGAAGGGGCTTACAGATTGTAGAGAGGGGTCAAGGATGTCTTCAAAGTTTTTGGTCTGAGCAGTTAAAAGAATGGAGCTAGCACTGAGTCGGGAAGAGCTGGGGAAGAGCAGGTTTCAGAGCAGCGTGAGGATAGGGGGCTCGGCTCTGGACCGTCACCTCTGGGCCACCTGTGGTGCGCACACATGGAGACTTATGTGCCTGCGAGGTCAGTGCAGGGATGCGGGTTGGGCTGAGATCTCAACTGGGGAGTTGTTGGAGATGGCATTTAAAACAACTGGATGAGGTTGATATCAAGGTTAGCATAGATGGGAGATGTCTTTTTCACACTTTGGAGAGGATTCATTGTGAGATAATTCTCCTCACACCCTCCTCCTCATCACTCTGTTAACTTACTAAACCAAGTAGTAACTAAACCATGGAGAGTGGTTTCTGCAGATACAGTTGGATCTGCTCCTGCGATGCCCAGAGAAGCCACTCTTATCACTTCCCTTCCTCCTCCCCATTATCGCTCATACACCACTCCCTCGTTATCTCCTCTGCATCGTCTGTGCTTTATTGCTTCTGACTCCCTGACTGTGGAGCAAGTCTGGTGGTCCGCTCACATTGCCTCCTCTGAGCACATCTCGACTGCTGAGCCGACCACGTGGCCTTACGGTAACCATGCTAAGTTGTTCACTTGACGCACACTGAGAGCTGACGGCTGCTGCAGCGCCTTGCAGGGAAGACAACAGGTATAACCTACAGCAGCTTCCCTTCTAAGTTCCCCGAGACACGTGCACCACAGCGCTGGCACGGAGTGGGTGCCTGAGATGGACTTGATGAACGTCACATGACAAAGGGTTCATTTCTCTCATAAGCAAAGAGCTTCTACAAATCAGAGATGGAAAAAGCACTCTGAGGTTAGATATGAATATGCAGTTCACAGAAGAAAGTCACCAGGCTGACAACCATGTTAAAAGTGTCCAGTCTTACTGATAACTAAAGAAATGTCATTAAAATAATGAGATACCACGGGTTCATCTTTCAGATGAACTAAAAGTGAGTTAAAGAGCCAGCAAGAGCAGGCGGAGGGTGGCCGGAGGTGAGTGGTGGGGACACAGGCTCAACTTTCCAGGTGCAGAACTCTCCACCCAGCTTTTCCACCTCAAGAAATGCGTTTTTCAAGAAGGGCACTAAGAAAGTTATAAGTCAACTTACAAGACACTGAGAACCTGGCTTGCCTCAAAATGTCAGCAAAAGTAGTTTTAAGGAGAACACTGCCCATGTTTCCATGAGAAACAGACCAGCTCGTTTGTCTGGTGGAGGATTTAAGACAAAGTCTAACTCCATCCAGTTCCCTCAACAGCTGCCGTCTGTGCTCCCGTCCTGTGGGCCCCAGGCCACGCGGCCCAACAGCCCACGGCCCAGGCCCCATTCCAACTCACCCCAAGCTCCCAGCACCAGTGGGATTTAAATTATTTGGGGGTGAGCCCTGTTGTATCTACCTTTATGTCCCTCCTGATGCCAGGTTTGTGTGACCTCCTGCACATGGGAGGGACCCACAGGCATCTAGGAGCAATGTGGCTGGAGGGTCAGGGACTCAGGCTTTGGTTTCAGACCCCGGCTCTGCCACCCATTGGCTCTGCAACTTGTGCAGCCCTCTGGGCCTCAGTTTCCTCCTCTGCAAAGCAGGCGTAATGACAGCCCCCTTCTCACAGGTTGTCTTAAGGATTAAGTAGAAGAATAGATGCACAGAAACAGCCAATAAATAGTGGTTACGCTTAGATCTGCTGAATGGATGAATCTTCTGTCAATTTGCTGGACTGATCTGCTGGTCATTGTATACATTTGCGGGAGAAGAAAAGGTGCCCAGTTTTCTTTTAAAACTTTATCAGGAGTCGCCTCTTCAGCCACCACTTCTGATGCTACACCAGAGTGGGCTTTGCTGTCATCAGAACGAGGCAAAGCCTCAGCCGTGGGCCAGTCCCAAATGACATGCCATCCCAGAGAGCATCAAACCGCACAGCTGTTCAGTTCTCATGACTGCAGGGTTAGGTGAAAGATTACAAGGAAAGAAGTATTTTCCAGATTCAGCAGAAGATAGTAGAGGGGTCAATTTCTGTAGCAGCCACTGATGGCTTCTAAGCAGATGGACTGTCAGGAGGTGTGTGGTCAGTGGGGAAGCTGCTGAGGGCATGAGGGAGGCCCTGCACCCAGCGCTGAGCAGAGGGCAGGACTACTGGGAGCTTCCCTTCCTGTCCTCTTCCTTCTTATTTCCTGATCCAATCCTGCTGCTTTCAACCATTCTCCCCAGTATCCACGTCACTTCTGTGGCTTCAACTGCCTCCCATCCCTGGGCAGGTGGCCCTCATCCCAACCCAGCCACCCTCCTGAGCGCCACTTACACATTTCCAGTGGCCTCCCCTCCAGACAGTGCCTTGGGATACAGCACAATCACCTTGATTCCAGTTTTCCCCTAGAAACCAACTGTTGCTCTGAAAGGAGGCTCCCACTAGCCTCCTGCTCAACGGGACTCAGAATTGCTTTTTTGCCAACCTGCGCCTCCTCTCACCTACTCTGCCACCTCTAAGTCCCACCAACTCTTCAACGATCTCGCCTTTAACCCCTTCCCTTCCCTCCCCCGAGCCCAGGGGTGGATGGGGACTCACGGAGCCATTGAGGCCATTTTGGGCGGCTGTCTTCTTCACCTCTGGCTTGGACGCAATGATAAGGTAGGTTTCAATGCCTTTCTCGTCCAGGTAATCGCAACGGCTGCCCCCATCGCCTGGCTCCACATCAAACTCTCCTTTCAGGCAGTCCAAGGTGCTCTGGGAGATGTGCACACGCCTGGATTATGGCGAGAGAGGCCCTGAGCACAGGCAGGAGGGCAGCCCCGCCCCACCCTGCGGACAGTCAAGGGACAGTGGCTGGACCAGGCAGCTGCTTGGGCCTGTATCTCCTGGGCACGTGGGATATGCTGTTCCTAAGAGCAGTGACAGGAAGTCTTGACCCTCACTGGCTGTGTGGGCAGCATGGTACCTGCCCTTCTCTTGAGCCTCAGTGTTTAATCAGTAAGACAGTTTGTCCTCACAGGCTTCCGAGGGTAACAAATGAGATAAGAAATTAGAAGTCTGCTCTGAACACTAAGATCCATGAAGTCTGATTATCACCCACTCCATGTGATTATCAGTTGCAACACCTGTGTCGGGGGGTAAGAAACTCTTTTCTGGGGAGTCACCACTAGGGAGAGAATTTTGGCTGTATTCGAGGGAAGCTCCCTGGCCCAGGAGGGGAAGGTTTCACTGCATCCGTGGTCCACCCTGAGGTGGCAGCAGTTTGAAGCAGCAAATGTAATTGCAAAAGAGGAAAGCAGTCAGCCCCGCCTGACTTGCAGAGTCTGTCAAAAAGCTCAGGTGAGACGCGCAGGTGCATCAGAACCATGGATAGCTACCTCAGAGCCTGTCACTGATAACGACGCCCTCCAGGGACATGTGCACCCTGGAGGAGCTATAGCCATGTGTGACCACAGAGCCCGGCGGCCCCACGATAAAGGGGGCGAGATGATCGACTGCTGCAGCGCTCCAGGCAGGAGAGGCCCAGGAGGCCGGCACCCAAGAAGGAAGGCTGCTCCTGCATGAACAGTCCCCTCCCTCGGCCCCCACACCTGCCCCGGGGATGGAACATGCACTCACCCTGGGATGCCGCCGGCTTCCATCTTGTTGGCCACGGTGACGTCGGTGGACCACACGTCGTACTGCCAGCGCTTCTGGCCCAGGACGCCCCCCAGCACGGTGCCTGTGTGCACCCCCACACGCATGTCCACCCCGGTCTTCGTCTTCTCCCGCACATACCTTCCAGGTCCACACAGAAGGGAGGAGGGGTCAGGCTGCCCGCGGCACAGTGGCCAGCCCCCCTCTCCCCCAGCAGGAGGAATTCTGCTCAGGACTCCTCCTCTCCAGGCCAAGGGCCTACTGGCTGCCCTATCGCTTTCTGCCTGCGTCTGAGCTGAGCCACCTGCAGCCGAGGTTACAGCAGGCTACAGCCCGAGCCCAGAGTCAGCCATCACAGGCCAGTGTGATCTGGGGTGCGGGTGGGGGACAGGAACAGCAGTGGGACCCTCTGCCCCTGAGCAGCCTCCAACTGCTCTCTTCTAATCATCCATGTACTCATCTGAGCAGCTGACGCTTCTCTGAGCACCTACTATGTGCCAGGCCCTGTGTGACGCACTATGTGCACAGTGGGAACAGCTCCTTGCTTGGGAAATCCAGAAGGAGACAAACAGGAATTTCAGAACCGTGCCTGATGGTGACAAGAGTGGAGGTAAAAGGCTCTGCTGCCCTGAACTAAGGCCCCTGGGGAAAGGCAGCACCTGCTTCTTTCCAGCCAGTCCTGGAGGGGGCTTTAACCTAGAAGATGGTAAAAATGCAAAACCACCCGCTCCAAGGCGGCAGCGAAGCAACACACCCAATTCCTGGACTCCATCCTGTGGGAGAAGCCTCAGCAAGGAGCTGCAGGGTCTGATGCCCCCCAGGGCCCACCAGAGGCCGTGAGTTGATGGGAGGGAGCACCAGGCTCAGGGGCAGTGACAGCATCGGAGAGGAGCCAGGTGACTCCACCATCCTCCCAGCAGTGCAGGCAGGAGCCCTGGCCAGGAGCTCAGAGGCCAGGGTTCCAGTCCCACCTCTGCTGCCCCATATATCTCGTGACCTCAGCAGTCACTTCACTGCTGTACTTGGACTTTCTGATCCAAGAGATGGACATGGACATCCTTAACCCTATCTGTCCTAGGGGGTGGGGAGCGGGTCATGATAAGAAAACACTGAGAGAGGAGATGGGGAACACTTGGGGGACAATTAAGCAAATGTGAGGTGGCGGAATTTTATGATGACTGCAACTTCCAGCAGAAAAAAAGTGGACTAAGGATAGAAAAGCACCCCTCGGAGAAGCCTTGCAGTTTCCCTCAGCTGTGAGGAAGGCAAGCTCTGCCCAGCTTCCCTGAGCCTGGGACCGAGGGACTTACCAACCATGCAACACCCCCATTACACCCTGAGAGCACTCCTTGGGGGCCTGGGGTGTGCCGGGCCCACCAAGACAGACCAACGTGGAAGGCCTGCCTCCCACACGGGTCCAGGGCTGGGACGTATGCTCTGGGAGGCCCCCCTTCACCAGAGGCACCCAACTTACGAAATGGCCTCCACCATGGCAAGCCCCATGAGGATGGAGCAGACGGCGTGGTCCTCCCGGTAGTCAGGCAGGCCGCAGATGCAGTAGTAACAGTCACCCAGGATCTTAATCCGGAGCTGGTGGTATTTCTGGAAGGGCAGGGCGTGGACCACGGTGTGAGTCCCTCCTCAGAGCCGAAGAGAAAGCAGAGGGAGGACAGGTGGGAGGATGTGGTGGGAGCCGGGGGCGGGGGGCAGGCCCAGGCCACAAGGGTGGTGCCCCCACCTGGCAAGCCAGGCGGATCAGGGTACTTACAGCCGCCAGCTTGTCAAAGCGGGCAAAGAGCTCGTTGAGCAGCTTCACGAGCTCCTGGGCGCTGCAGGCCGAAGACAGCTGGGTGAAGCCCACGATGTCGGCAAAGAGGATACTGGAAGAGGACAGAGGCCACAGGCTGAGGCCCAGGGTGGCAAGCTGGGCTCCACACCAGGCCCACCGCCAGCTCCTGCTCCAGCGCCCAGGCAACCAGGCCCTCGCTCGAGGCCCAGAGCAGTGGGACCCTGGCACTGCCAGGGCACGTTCAGGGCTCTGACTTTTGGTCATCCTGTGGGTGGTGTCTACACAGTGACGGGGCTGGACCACGTGGCCTGTCTCAGCCCCAACGTTCCGCAGCAAGGCAGCTCCCACAGGGGCTGAGGCTCACACCATGGTGTGGCCGTGCTTTTAGTCCCTGGGAAGGCTCTTGAGCCCCACAGGGCTCAGCCAACCCTCCAAAAACCCCCGTCCTGTGCTCAGAGCCCACGCCCACAGCCAGCGCACCTGACGTTCTCGTGGCGGTACATGTACATGGTGTTGAACTGTTGCTGGTCCTTCTGGCTCTCATCCTTCTTCATGTCCTTCAGCATCTCATCGGCCACGTGCTTGGGCAGGATGGAAAGCATAAGGTTCTCCTGTGGGGGAGGAAGGAGTTAGTAGGGAGGGCAGAGGCAGGCGCAGACACTCTGGGAAGAAATGCCCTGATCCTGGTGACAGATGTCAACTGGGAACCAGGTGACCTTCCACGGAGGCCCTGCAGCACAGACCCACCCCAGGAAGCAGAGGTGCTAGAGTGGGGATCACAGGAGGGAGAAATCCAGGCAGAGGCGCCTTGTCAGGAAGCACCGGCCCCGTGCCCCGTGGAGGAAAGGCAGGTGATGGCGGTGCCCGGGGAAGGGTGGTGGAGAGACACCTGAGGGGGAACCTCGAGGGGAGGTCTGCAGGATGGAAACTGTAAGGGAGCAAGAGAACTGTAGCTAATGGCACAGAGGTGACTAAACTGAGGCCCATGGGACAAGGCAGCAGGAAGTGAGCTCAGCCTGGGAAAAGTGGTGGGGGCAGGAGGAGGCAGACAGCTGGGGGGACAAGACATGTGGCTGGAGGGCGCAGCCTTTGACCCCGAGGTGTAGAGGTGTAGCAGTTCCGGGTGACCAGGCCAGTGCCGCAGGGTCAGCCGCTGAAAGGGGGGAAGTGGGGCGGGGAGGGGAGGTTCACGGTCCAGGAGAGCTGTGTCCAGTCACCTGAGGCACAGGAGTTATCTGGGTCCAGGACGGGTGGCCAGAAAGCCAAGGGCTACTGCCTATGTCCTCAGCACCTGGGGCTTGACTAGGGGTCATGGGACCACAGTGAAACTGAGGCTGCAGGTCCCAGGCCTCAGCAGTGACACGGAGAACACCCACCGCGGGCCTGGACTGGGGGTGGGGCTGGAGGAGGTGGAGGAGGGTGGAGGGGGCGGGGGCGGGGGCGGGCCCTGCCCATTCCCGCTCTCTGCTATTGTCCCTCGGCCCTGAGACCAGAGAACCCAGCTCTCCCTGCCTTTTAGACACACCCGCTCAGGGGCAGGAGCCCTGAGGTGTGAGGTTGACTCCTCTCCTCTGGATGGGGGGGCAGCCACCAGGCCCCCCAAGAGTCTGGTGTTGTATCCAGGCCTCTGCCCGCTGTAGGCCAGAGGGCTGGGGCCTCACCTCCCCTAGGGAACAGCTCAGCTGTAGGGCAGCCCCTCCCTTCTCTGCCCAGGAAGGTCTGCCGGCCAGGAGCCCCTGGCTTGCTTGCCATTTGCATAGGGAGGTCCCTGTGTCCTCTGTTTTCATGGAGAAAGTCAATTCCTGCAGTGAACACCACTCTGAGAAGTAAGTCCCCCTCTGCCCAGTGTGCCCAGCACTGGCCCTTGCCTGAAGCACGTACCATGGTTACTCCCATTACCCTCCCATTCGCGCAGCAATGTCTCTCCCACTGTGAAGAACCTCTCAAATGGCAGCAGTACAGCTCAGGAATGAGAAGGCAAAATAACCCCAGTGCACCCTGCCTGGCTCCACCTGAGCCCAGGAAGTAGCAGCTGGGTCTCCTGGGGCCCAGGAGCCGGGGCAGAGCAGGCGCTTAAGACCCCGGGGCCCGGCACTTGGTACCCCCAGCCCAGCCACGTGCAGGGAGGGGAGGCCCTATGCCAGGGGACTTCTCCCCAGACCTAAGCCAGCCACTATGGAGAGAGCTCTCAGCCTGGGAAGAAGATGAGTCTCTGGGAGGGTTTTCAAGAAAAGTCAGAGACACGCAGCCCTGCCAGCTCTGGAGCTGCTGGGGTCCTGAGGGGGAGAAGGTGTGAGGTGGGGTGGGGTGGGAGCAGTGAGGGCCAGGACTCCAGGTGCGGCCCTGCCCGTGCCAGGCTGGTGGGGACAGGGGGTCCAACTACCTGGCTCAGACCCCAGCCCTGCCACTTACTCCCGTGTGGGAGTAAGGCCATTACGACACCTTCCCCTGCCTTGGTGTCCTCGCCTGTAAAACAGGAAGGCTGAGGGACTCGTTTCCATAATACACTTGGAACAGTGTCTGTACACAGCAAGTGCTCAATAGACTTCAGCTGTTCTTGCATCACTTGAAGTGCTGCTGAGGGCACTGAGCCAGGAGTGTTTCAGAAAGACAAGGTCTAAACTTCCCCCAGGCTTTGAAACTGGCCACAGGTTCGCAGATAAAGAGTTCCAGTGGGAGGTGAGGGTCGCAGAAAAGCTTCTGGGCCCTCAGCCAGGTCCTATGAGTTCTGTCCGGCTCCAGTGGGGTGATGGGGGGACACAGAGAGGGATCCTGCCTTCCACGCAAGTCTCAGCCTCTGTCCACCCACCACATGTGCATGCAGGGTGCACACAAATGTAAGGAAGAGGCCCACGTGTGAAGAGCATGATGGGGACCCCAGCAGGCTGGGGTCTCCAGCACGTGAGCAGAGAGGGGCCGCGCCTGGCAGCCACAGCCCTTGGTCAGGCCTTCCCCACCCCCTTGGGCCCTCCCTCAGAACCCTGTCCTCCCAGAAAAGCCTCTCTGGCTCCCCGGGAACCTTGGGAAGGTCAGAATACAGTCTAGTCCTGTGAGGTGCCCTGTGCCCCAATTTCCTTAGAAACAAGCCAGGCCTCCCCAGGGATGGCCCACACTGCCCGCTACTAGCTAGGCCGGGGCTCCAAGACGGGCAGCCAGGGCAGGAGAGAGGCGGCGGCAGCAGCAAAAAGCAGGCCCCCCAGACGCTCACAGAGCAAGAAGACCGCCCACTTATCTCTGGGGTACGACGTGGGGAATTTCACTTTTTGCATCATATGCTTCTGTAACTTTTCCAAGAGAATAGATGAGTTCTGAAAGCAGATAATCATTAAATGTCAATGTTTAAAATTACAAGAAAGCAGCTGTGGTTGTCAGTTAAGGCAGCCCGTTTACCCATGTGGTTTACAGAAACCTTACATCAACCTCAAAAGGCTTAAGCGTCACTCTCTCTGGAACGGCCACCTCACCCACCTGCCACCTCTCTAGAGAGCCCCCTCGCCGTGCCCAGGCGTGCTCGTCCCCCTCCTCACTTGCACCCAGTTTACCGGTGTCACTAACGGTGCTGACTTTGTTTGCCCTTATATTTCAGAGCTTCTAAAGTCATTTCCGAATCCCGGCCCCTTTTAAGAGTGTGTGATGTTAGCGATGGATCTTCTAGAAAAATCCTCATATACACAAAGAGGATCCTTGACATCCATTCTCAGAGTCCAAGTTAAAGACCCCAACACCTCATATGTGTCCTTGGAGAAGGAGAGAGGCTGGGATCCAAGTACACTTGCCTGGTGGGTCCCAAGGAGGGGACAGGGGTGGATGGGACAGCGGCCACCCAGAGCGGCCTCAGGCCCAGAGCTGCTGGATGTGGCGAGGTCTCCTAAAATAGCAGTTCCTATGTTTCGGGAGTCATAAAAAATTCCAAGCCTCTGACCTATTAATGGCTCTTCTGGGAATTTATCCAACAGAAATAATCTAAAAGAAGTGAAAAGATTTATGTGCAAGAAGAACTTCATTGCAACACCACTTACACTTGTGGAAAAACTCTTAAGCAGCCCAAATGCCCAGCCCAAATGCCCAGCCCAAATTGCCCAGCAAATGGCTAGATTGTAATACATCCTCTGGATGGAAGATGATGCAACCTTAAAAATGACCTCGATGAAAACTGTTACAAGAAAATGATGAGAGAGAAGAGCAAGCCACAAAACTGTGCTCTGTGTATGTGATGCTGGACATAAGTGCACCTAAATAAAGGCAGAAGGACACATTCACAGGAGAGAAGCGTAATCTCATGTGGGAGACGGAACTGAGAGAAGACTTTACATGTTTTTCAAAATTACGGTAAGATTGCTATGCCCCTGCTGCTTCGTGTTTAAGTATGTTTTAAACTGGAAATAAACACAAAACGTCCTGTTACCTCCAGCTGTGACTCTGACTCCCAGCTCGTCTGTAACTACCACGGTTTTCTTAGAAACAGATGATCCCTGCGAGGCAGCTGGGCCGGCTCCGGACTCCCACGTCTGCTTGGACATAACCCGAGAAAGGAGACCAAGGGCCAGGTACGTGGCAAGGAGGTCACAGCCCCGCAGCAGATAGGAGAGGAGACAGTGACAGACCAGCACCCTGGGCTGGCTTCCTTCTGCAGATCTCAGAAGCACCACAACTCACCAGGCAAATGGATGCTCGTGACCAGTATCAAAATCATCCCTCTTCTTCGCTACACGTTTCTCATCTCCCCTACACGTTCACCCATGTGTAATACTGCCTCCATTTCGCAGGTGACCGAATCGAGGCGTGGAGGGTGAAGTGGTTTGTCCCGCTTCCTCAGATGTAACTTGGAATCACTCAGCACTGCTACCCAATGGATGAGACACCTGCAGTGAGCCCCAGCTCTGGGAGGTCCCCTGGTTCAGCTGAGCCCATCCCATGAGACCTAAGGCCTCATGACCCTGATTCCAGCCTGCAGAGCTGTGGTCTCGGCACCACTTGGGGCTCACCCACCCAGGCCCAAGGATCCTCAGGCAACTGGTAACCACATGGAAGTTTGGAAGCACCATTTGAGGAGAAGGAGTTAAAGGAAAGGAAACCAAGGGAAAGGCACAGCCGTGGTGGTGCAGCGGGGAGTGGCTGACTGGTGCACCCAGAGCAAGATCACTGCTGGAGACTCCTGCCTCCAATGCCATGCCCAAGCAGGAGGCAAAACCCCCAACTGGGACTTGGGGATTAGAAAGAAGCAGAACACTTGAAACCCAAGGACAGGGCAGCAGTGAGATTCATGTCAAGGTGGAAATGGCAACACACCTCCAGAAGCTTGGACTCATATGGTCAAAGATGCAGAGGTCCAGCGCTCACCCAGTTCCCTCTAAGAAAGCCAAAACCCACTGACGATCACAGTCCCAAGGGACTGGGTGTGGAGGAGGAAGATGTGGCCAAAGTCTGTCATGAACAAATGGAGGAGGAAGGGGGAGGGCATTCAATAATATGAATAATCTTTCATTTACTTTTTCTTCTCCCTTAACCATTTTTTATTCTTTAGTTTTTCTGTAATGTCATTTTCAAAACGGAATTGAAATCAGCACGCCCCATGTCTTTAAAACGGCTGCTATTTTGAATTCCAATGCTC